GGCATGACGGAAGCCTTTTCTTATGAAGGAAAACATCCAAGCCTGGATAAATTTAGCAAAAACACATCTGAAGTCTCCAAAAAGCATGTGGGAAAATGTGTTATGGTCTGATGAAACCAAAGTTGAACTTTTTGGCCATAATTTCAAAAGATATGTTTGGCGCAAAAACAACACTGCACATCACCAAAAGAACACCATACCCACAGTGAAGCATGGTGGTGGCAGCATCATGCTTTGCGGCTGTTTTTCTTCAACTGGAACTGGGGCTTAGTCAAGATAGAGGGAATTATGAACAGTTCCAAATACCTGTCAATATTCTATAAACTAGGCTTCTGCTAGAAAGCTGAACATGAAGAGGAACTTCATATTTCAGCATGACAACGACCCAAAGCATACATCCAAATCCACAAAGAAATGGCTTCACCAGAAGAAGATTAAAGTTTTGGAATGGCCCAGTCAGAGCCCACACCTGAATCCAATCGAAATCTGTGGGGTGATCTGAAGTGGGCTGGGCACAGGAGATGCCCTCACAATCTGACAGATTTAGAGTGTTTTTGCAAGGAATATTGCCAAGTCAAGATGTGCCATGCTGATAGACTCATACCCAAAAAGACTCAGTGCTGGAATAAAATAAGAAGGTGTTTCAAAAAAGTATTAGTTTAAGGATGCAACCATATTATTTTAGTTTTTTTTTATTTTTACTTCCCTCCACCTAAAAGATTTCAGTTTGTTGTTCAGCTGAGTTGTAAAGTTTATAGGTTACATTAATGGTTGAAAACGTTCTGAAATTATTTATCTTTGTCCCATTTTTTGACATCACAAAAACCTGACATTTTAACAAGGGTGTGTGGACTTTCTATATCCCCTGTAGGTCCTGTTCTATTTAATATATATAAGTGATATAAATAAAGGTTTGTTGGGTAAGTTATGTCTTTTTGCTGATGACACAAAGGTGTGCAATGGGGTAGATATCCCTGGAGGTGTTTGTAACATGGAACATGATTTGGCATTGCTGGAAGATTGGTCAAAAAAGTGGAAATTGCAGTTCAGTGTTTCTAAATGTAATATAATGCACCTAGGGAAAAATAATCCCTTGAGAGAGTACAACATTGGGGGTACATTATTGGCCAGCACTTCAGAGGAAAAGGACTTGGGGGTACTTATTTCAAATGATTGCAAAATGAGCAAACAGTGTGTGACTAAGAATTGGGGAAAGCAAATAGAATTCTAGGATGCAACACTAGAGGGGTCACCAGCAGGAGGAAGGAGGTCCTGATTCCCCCATTACAAATCTTTAGTTAGACCTCATTTAGAATACTGTGTCCAGTTCTGGAGACCTCACTTACAAAAAGATATTGATAAGATAGAACGAGTCCAGAGACGGGTAACAAGAATAATGAAAGGTCTGGGGGATAAAATATATCAGGAGCGACTTCAGGAACTTAACATGTAGAGTCTGCAGGAAAGAAGGGAAAGGGGAGACATGATTGAAACCTTTAAATACATCAAGGGGGAATACATTAAGGGGGTGACTAAGGTTCAGGAGGGCAGTATTTTCAACATGAAACCAAAATCAATCAGGGACATGCGTGGGACAAGGATAGATCTATACTCAGACAAAAAAAGTTAACAAAAAATAAAGAAATTAAAAAACAAAACACCCCTCCCAAAAAAAACACCCCCTGCCCCCCCCCCCCAAAAAAAATAAAATCGAAAATGAAAAAAAAAAAAAACCTGGCAGACTCGATGGATCACTAGGTCATTTTCTGCCATCACGTTTCACTTTTCTATGTTTGTATCTGAGGTCAAAACATTTTTCCAGATGCCAAGATGGCATCATGCTACCACGTGTATACTGCCATGGATTGGCACCAGGAAAGGAAAATTATGGTAAGTATTTGATACAGTTTCCAGTTTTACTGGTGAAAATATGGCAGCATACATGTGTTAGTATGCTGCCATAGATTGGAGCCAGGAAAGGAAAATGATGGTAAGTATTTGATGCAGTTTTCCATTTTTTCATTTTGTATAGAGTATGGTTAAAATTTCTGGGTTTTGCCATATGTATGCCATTGGGGAGATTTCTCTTCACTTCCTACTTTGTAGATACAACAGGATACAGTATGAGATAAAATCTCTCCAAAGTGAGGTAAATACCCTTTTAGGCAAACCTCTTCATAGTGAGATGAATCCCATTTTGTGCTGGGACAAGAGTCACAACTGTAATATTTCCCTTCTATTCCTATTCTGCACGATTTTCTGATTTTGGTTTTTCACACATTTTCTGTCCTGGTAGCAGTCATCACCAGCACACATAGCAAGAGTACATCGTTTTAACAAGGACACAGACTTGGTAAAAGTCCTCACCAACCACCACTCAACCAACCAGCACTCAAGAACCAGTATTGGCACTATATAAATAATCAGGGCTTTTTTTAAGCAGGAACTTAGGGGAACGCAGTTGCGGCACCTCCAGCACTGAATATATGCAATGACAAGGGAAGCTAGGGTGTACTAGGGGGTCTATTGATGCTGGCAGCTGGGGGGTCTATTGTCACTGGGATGATCTATTGTTGTTGGGGGGTTGTGGATGGGAAGGATCTACGGTTGAGGGAGGGGTCTATTGTTGCTGGCTGCTAAGAGATCTATTGTTTCTGGGGTGGAACTATTTTTGATGGAGGTATTTTGTTGCAGAGGGCTATTGTAAAATTATATTTGGTTCTGTATTCCTTAAAAGGAGTGGAACTGGAAGTTGTGTAGGGGGCGGAACCAAGAGATAGAGCTCTGAGGTGGGTAGGGGAAGGAGACAAGGGACGGTCCTCAGAGGTGGGTTGGGGGTGGAGACAAGGGATGGTGCTCTGAGGTGGGTAGGGGGTGGAGACAAGGGGTTATTTAGAAGGGGGGAATACCTGCACCTATTCTGAGAAAAAAAGGTCCCGTAAATACAGTACCTATAATAAAATAATCACATTTCAACAGTCTTTTGTTGTACCTGAATGATAGAGCTCATCTTATCCAGTTACTTAAAGTGGTATTATAACCCATATATTTTTTTTTAATTAAATGAGCCTCCAGGTGGTTTATGCCATAATGTGCCAGTATGCATTGCATATTAACATGTTATGAGAAACCTACCTGTCAAACGAAGCCCTCCAGCACTGTGCTGTCAACACTCCTGCTGGCCTTGAGCACTGCTATCCTTGGCCTGGTATTTCTTCTGTGTTCCATCTGCTTGGCTGCTTGAATAGCTGGGCCACAATGACATCACTCCTGTGCATGTGCAGCCACATCATCATGGCGCAGAGTGGGTGCCATAAATGTATGCTGGGTTACACATGCGTGGCTCAGTGTACATGACAGCTGAGAGGCAGGGGGGAAGCGTTTATGACAGAAGAGACCAATAGGGTCTCTTCTGTCATAAAAACCCTATTTGTCAGCAATTTTTTTTTTTTTTTAAATTAGAGTTTAATACTGCTTTAAACAGAAGGGTGGTTGTTCTTTATTTTTTTTTCTAGCAATTTTGCGATTGTGTTAAAGAATATGAAGAGCCACCACTAAAAACTGACCACACTTAGGTATAAGGGCACAGCATGGTCAGTTTGCTGTCATAAAAACAGCCTGCTCTTCTCCAATGATGGGAAGCTCACTGTGTTGCTGTTTCTCCTCCACCCTATCTGTTCATTGTGATCACTTTAAAAAGCGTAAAAAAAAGGTATTTATAATAACTTATTTTAACATCTCTACACTTTGTTTTGCGTTTCATTTCTATTTTAAATTGAATAGCTTGGTTTACAAGGGAGGATGTACATATACAGATGTGGGTGGACAGTTTTGCCAACATATTTTCACACAATTTGAACACAGTAGAACCTTTTGCGATTTTTTTAAAACATGTAAAAGTATGTGAACCTTTGGACTTAAACCTGAAACCAGTTGCAGATCAGACCTGCAGATCTGGAGTAATTTTGGACCACTCCTCTTCACAAAACTGTTTCAGGTACAGCAAATTCTTGGGATGTTGGTGTGAATCGCTCTCTTAAGGTCTATGCCAAGCATTTCAATCGGGTTGAGGTCAGGACTTTAGCCAAACTCTAGAAGGCGTATTCTGTTCTGTTGCAGCCATTGTTTTGTTGAATTACTTGTATTGCTTTGGGTCATTCATCACCCACCCTTACGGAGCTTCAGCTGAGAACAGAGAGAATGTTGATCACTTTTAAAAAGCGTGAGGCAAAAAAAAGGGATAGGTTTATAATAAACATAGTGTTTTTTAACATCTCTATCTGTCACTATATTTTGCCAGTAGTGCTGTGGAAAATCAGCTTTTTGCAAACATTATCTACATTTTCCTCTGTTGTCCTCCCCATGTATCCTTTCTTGTTTAATGTTCCTTATTGTAAATGGTTTAGCATGTGCCACAGATTTCTGTGTTTAGCTGTGGGATTCTTCTTTATCCTCATGCATTCTGCGCTGTGCTCTTGCAGCATTTTTACAGGACATACGAGGGATTGTAGATCTAATACATTGAACATGCAGCTTTTGTAAAAAAGATCGTAGGTTTCTGAAATGGTAAGTGCTTTTGGAAACCAGTTGTGGATAAGGGCAACAGCTGTCAGCAACACATCCAATATCATCACACTGATTGGAGTTTGGCTACTCCTGGCTCCAATTAGCTCTGGGAGAAGTCATTAAGCTAGGGCCTCACATACTTTTGCAAATGTTTACATGTTTATGTGCTTAAACCATGGCAACATCTAATGTTTGTGTAGTATTATGTTCAGCAGACTGTGTTCTTCTATTGTTGTGAAGATGAAAGTTCAGAGCACTGGGTTTACTTTAAAAGGGTGTTAACTACTTTAAGCAGTTTGCTATCATATGATTGTATATAATACATTTTGCACTAAATATAAATTTTAGAAAAATGGGTGGACCCATGGATACAACGCAGAAAATGATGTGCTAAAATTCATTTTACTAGAAACTGGTCTTACTTTAAAATGTTACTAAACCCACAACAGTAAAATCAGTCTGTATATGCAGTAAAGCATGCTTGTTATACTCACTGTGGAACCTAAGGGGTTAATCCTCTGCATTGTGTAAAAAGGCTGTTTGATCCTTTCTTCTCTGTTCCTCCCCTTTTTCAAGCGACCACACCACTTATCTCCAGACTGAATGGTAGGCATGCACATGCTCAGTTTGGTGAATATTGCTAGAGAGGTGTTTTTTTTCTTGAGAGAATGCATGTAATCAGCACAGGGCCAATCAGCACTGTCCAGACAGAGGTTAGGGGATTACCATCCTCCTACAGCAGAAATAATACTCCTCCTACAAGCTTTAACCAGTGCTCTGCTGAACACTGATAGAAGTCACAAGACTGCTCTAATTGCTGATGGGAAAAGGTATTTAGAAGTGTATATTTACTAAAATATTTGCACTTCCATGTTCTGTGTACTGTGGGAGACCAGATATAATGGATGTAGGGTCCTGGGTTTAAGCTACTTATTTTCTGGAAATCACACCTCCGGACTGTCTGCTATGCAAGCATTGTAACATAAACACAGAAATATGCAATGATATCAGCTTTAGAGCTTATCAGCACCCAGTTCCCAGCACATTCATCTACATTAAATTGAAGTAATGCAGATTTTTACTAATTATGTGAAAGCATTTTAGGAATCATTAATTTCAGTTTAACTTTGCAAACCCACAAGTAATAAATTGAGATCAATTAGCTTTTTGGATTGGCTCTACAGAGTAGAAAGTGAGATGATTTGTCTGTTTAATAGATGCTAAGTAAAATGAATGGTATATACAGTGATAGCTTATACAGTGGCTAAACAAGTTTAATGTATTATACCTGGGACAATTTTTTTTAGGGTAAAACGGTATTAAACCCAAAAACAAAAATATAATATATTACAGGTTACCAATCATTACATGTGGTGGCTGCATTAGCTTTCTGTCTTTAGGCATTTTTCCCTTTATTTCCACCTGCTGATCCAGCCAGTAACACACTTCCTGCTTTAGGGCGTCTCAAATTTACTGGAGAAACAACAGAGACACCTTTGGACAGCAGCACTGTCAGTCTAGACAGAGGGCAGTGTTAGATGTACTAGCTGATTTAGATGGATTTAGATCTAGATGGGCAAATTAAAAGATAAGTTCACCTTTTGTAACATGTTATACCCATATTCAAGGTGTAACATGTAACGTTATGATTGGACCGGTCCCTGCTCCCCCCGATCCCTGTTGTGACAGCTAGAGGGGGATCTTCTCCCCGCTAGCGGTCGCAAATCAAAAAAAATGCACGGGGCTCTGCCTGCCCAGCCGCTTTGCTCATTCACAGTGTTCTGTGAATGAGCAAACTACAAGTCCCAGCAGCCTTTGTGGCTGTTGGCTTGTAGTTCTCAATGAACTAACACAGTGCAATGAGTGCTGTGATAGTTCATTGAGTTTTCCTGTCAGTAAGTATCGGCTTCCCCGTACGAGGTACGAGGCAGCAGATACACTGACAAGTCTGCAGGAGACCTGCATTCTGCCATTTGCTGCAGCAATGCTTCCCAGGCTCCCAAAACATAAAATAATAAATGCACATTTTTTTCACCTGCAAAAAAATGTGCGTTTATTATTTTTGTTGAAAGTTGCTAACATTCCAGCTAACACTTTTTAAACAGTTACAGCAACAGCTTTTTTTCCTTTTGGGATAAGCCCTGGTTCACACTGAATGTGACATTGAAATCATGCTACTTCACTTTCAAAGCCGCAAACCGGTGCAATTTCAGGTGCAGGGGCGGATTGACCATTTGGAAACTTGGGCACTGCCCAAGGGCCCGGGGTCAGTAGGGGGCCCCATGAGATGCCCCTGGTACCTTTTTCATAAGTTTTTTTGAGTTTGGGCAAGGACACAGGGGCCCCATAATCCCCTATTGCCCGGGGGCCCCATGAGTTGTCAGTCCGCCCCTGTTCAGGTGTGACTTGCCTGACATCTGCGCGACTTCATGCACAGTCACACCTGAAATAGTGCAGGAACTATTTTCAAAATTTGAACAGTTCCATTGCCGACCATAGGGTGCGACTTGTCATGTGAATTGGAACTGTCAAATCGCATGATAAGTTGCACTGGCGTAAACTAAGGCTAAAGATTTTAGGTCAGAGGTAAATTGTTTGCCTTAACACTATAACTGCCACTTTTGCTGGATAACATGGTCTGTTAAAGAGAATTGAACATTAGCAGACTTACTGGCAAGTAGAACTGGGCTTGATGTTCGAGTCAAAACCTAAGTTCGACTTGAACATTGGCCATTCGTGTGCGGCAAACACACGAACGGTAGGGGTGTTCAGCGGGATGTGCACCTGCCACGCCCTGACAGTGCATTGTGATTGGCCAAAGCAATGCAATTGACCACAGATCAGGTGCAATGATCAGCGCATGATGACGTCACAGCGTATGACGATGTCACAGCGCATGATGACAATGCTGAAGCGATCCGACCAGAAGTGGGGGAGCGGGTACCTGTCAAAACCAGGTACCTGCTCCCCCCCCAAAAAAAAAGTAAAGTGCCAAATGTAAAGGAGGAGAGGGGAGGAGGAGGGAAAATGAATCTTCCCCTTTTGGGTAAATTCCGCTTTGACCAATTTACACCTGTGCCTAGTGTTAGGGCTTTGAGATGGAAAACCCGCCATCATTACCATCAAACCCCAACAACCCGCAATGATGTCTGCGGGTGCGTCACTGTTGCAGAGATGAACTGAATCTATAGTCAGACCCGAGACTGTTATTTTCTGTGACCCGCCATCTGTTATCAGTTAAGTAAATGTTATATTTCATACTTTTAATTATTTGTGTGCTATTTCCCTGGTACTACATTGAGAGACTTAATCAGTTTCCTTGGGGTCAATGTAAATGAATTTAGGATGAACAATTGGAGATCACTTCAAGATCTGATCATTCATTTCTGCGATCAAACGCCATAGCACAAAAATTGGAGATACAAGTGGAAATACTGTATAGCTCCCCACCACCAATCTCCCTCATTCTCGGCATAGATCATCTCAGTTTCTACATCTTTGGGATAGATCCCAGAGCAGACTTCCCATGGGAGGAGACTGATTAGAGGCACGCAAATGAGAAAGTCTTCAGCTAATGTCCCTATATGCTGTGATAGCAGCATCCGTTTGTACAAATGGGAATCATGTGTCCACGTCTTTCTGGCCAAAACAGATACGTTGAAGAGTCAGACAGATATCTAAGAATGAGAACTGGATTGTTGAGGGGCAGAGGTAGTCCTTGCTAACAAGCTGCAGTCTGTGGGTGAGCAGACTAGAGGTCCCAGTCTCAGGGGCGGACTGACCATTTGGAAACTCGGGCACTGCCCGAGGGCCTGGGGTCATTAGGGGGCCCCATGAGATGCCTCTGGTACCCTTTCATAGGATTTTTTGAGTTTGGGCAAGGACACAGGGGCCCCATGATCCCCTATTGCCCGGGGGCCCCATGAGTTGTCAGTCCACCCCTGCCCAGTCTAGTGACCGCTGGAACCAGTTCAGCAGAGAGGCAGCTTTATTTTAAAGTGGTTGTAAACCCTACATACACCCATTGAAGTGGCTGGTTTCAGGTGATACACAGAGATTAAATAAATCATTCTACATAAGTTGTACCGGTTTATATACAGCCATCTTTCCCCTACATCCATTTAAAGTGCAGAATTTATACAGGATCTCTCAGCTCTGAAAAGCAGGAGGCGGGAAGCTGAAGTTACATCAGTGAGGTGAGAGCTGATTGGAGGGGAGGGCCACACCTCTCCTCACACAGCACGCAGGAACAGAGCTGAGGCCGTCGATCACATTCGGTGCCCTCCCTGTCACCATTCTCTTGGTGTCAGGAAAATGCATCAGAAGGGACATATGCATATAGCAGAGGAACAAGGCAGAGGACAGAAATGACACTTAGTACTCTGGATTGAGACAAGTACATGCGATAGAGGGATATGCTTTGTTCATATTTCATGTCTGAGGTTTACAACCATGTTAAGGAGGAAATAGACAAAGCTGTGTGACAATAGCCAGCAGCCTTAAAGATATTTGTGTTCTCTGTTCTGCTAAACAACCTCTGTGAGGGCAGAATGCTGTGCTATGCCACTGTATGAATAAATAAAATGGCCAAAAAGGGAACTAAAACATATTCTGCTGATTGCATTAAGTCCTTGGAAAGCTTTCGAAGCTGTATCTCACATTGTGCAACAACAAAATGGCAGCATTTGCTAGTAGCCCAAAGAGCAGGCAGAGAGAACTGGAATGACATTTGAAGAATTACAGCCTGTTCTCTGCCTTGCACTTTGCAGTGTCTTACTACATCATGCACAAATGGAATAGTATGTACATTACTTTTATGTTCTTTTGACTGGTAAAGCAGTGTTTGTTTATGTGCTTTAACTGCTTTGTGAGCTCTTTTTCTGGAGGTGCTATGTGTCTCCAGCATTTTCTGTATTTGTATTTATGCTATCGGTCATTTCAGGATTATTAGAGCTTACATACTGTGTCATGCAGCAGGTCTACAATCATGTCCTTCGCTTAAAATGATTGTAAACCCTCACCTTGTAAAACAACACATTCAGTTAAAAATAGAACTGAAAGGCAAAACATTTGTGTATAAATATAACAAAAAAATATTATAACCACCTTTGTCTCCTTTCTTTTTAAAATGATCACATATTCTCTGTTCTCAGCTGCACAAAGAGGTGGGGGAGGAGAAACAACAGTACGCCGATCTTCACAGTGAATGGCTGTGAATGGGGGGTGGGGGGGGGGGGGGGGATGTCAGGATAAGTCTGCTCATTGGAGGAGAGAAGGCTGAGTTTCCAGCACAGCTAGGGAACTGACCATGCTGTGCATGTGCTCATGCTTGGTGTGGCCAGTTTTTAATAGAAAAGCAGAGCAACTGGCAGGATCATCAGGGATTTCACACAAAGGAATACAAAGAGAACAAGATCTAACTAGATGTGGAATTTTGATTCCCTGTCATAATGATACTCTGTGAAACAACCTCTGTTTGCCTGATCTAATTGTCATTTTGTAATCTCTCAATAAAAATACTGAAATACAAAGAGAACAAGAAAACTTTTTCATATCAGTACATACTAGTACAGCAGACACATATTAGGAATAGGAAATGTTGGGTTTACATATTCTTTAGTCACTAGCCTACTGGGCACTTTCACCCCCTTCCTGCCCAGGACAATTTTCAGCTGTCAACGCTGTTGCATTTTAAATGACAACTCTGCGGTCATGCAACACTGTACCCATATGAAATGTTTATCATGTTTTTACACAAATAGAGCTTTCTTTTGGTGGTATTTAATCACCACTGGGTTTTTTAATATTTGCATTACAAAAGACAGAAAATTTTGAAACTGAACGTTTTCTTTGTTTCTATTATAACATTTTGCAAACAGGTAATTTTTCTGCTTCACTGATGTGCATTGGTGAGGCTGC